TCTACAACCGACGTGGGTGGGATCAGCACTTGACACTGTAAGACTGCTGGATACAGGTTTTGTCTTCATGTTAAAGCTGCAAGTCGTCATTTAATGGGTTTACCGTTCGATAGTTACACTGGAGATATAGGTGTGTCATGTAACATTTGCCTTCTTGCTACAGAATAACAGGGTATGACATGGAGGAGTTCTTATTCCTCCATGGGTATGACAACTAATGATGTGTGTTGCGATACGTTTTGAACATGTACATGTATACATTATTTTTCTTTATAGAGAATTGCCTACAACCTTTTCAATGGTCTTTGAAACGAAGTTCCTGCATGAGTATAAATTGTACTGGGCCATTTGCGCTGTTCGTTTGAAAGAGAAGCTGGGATGAGAGAGGTTTCAAATGTTAACTTTTACGTAAAAGCCTAAAACACTGATTCTCTTCGTTTTCAAAGTGCAGCTTCACGACCAATAACAACAAAACATTGAAATTATACAAAATGCAGCTGCAGCAGCTGCAGCATCTGCAGATACCTACCCTTTCAACACGTTTCGCATAGCGGTCGCTTATCGGGCACCATCCATGCCCTCTTGTTCGATACTCGAGAATGGCAAAACAACAAGTTGTTAATGGAGCGTAAGGAATGAATTTTACAGCGCAGTAAATTAGTCGGTGGCCGCCTGCCTTAAGTTTTGACACTGCCCACCCCACCCCCGTGGTCAAACTGTAGAGCAAGGAACAGACCAGAGGTCCCTGGATGACTCGTACTGTTCACCTCTCATACCCTGGATTCCTGGGTACAGCTTGGGATGTGTCAAAGGCTGCCCCCCCCCCCCCCCCCCCCCCCAGTGGTCGGAACAATGTTGGAACCCACTGTTAGGAGGTATAGCTTGTGGTGGACGGTACCCCGATCCAGCCGCTATCTTTAGTGGCAATCCTAGGCCCACTGACTCAATCTTGAAGGAAACAATTTTGGCTCAAGATAATATAGAATTGTTTTATTTTGTAGCTCCTATACCTCAAGCATTGGAAAAACAACCGTGGTTCTACGAGTGTTTGGTACCAAAACATTCGTATAGTTTCGAGACTTGCACTCTCTCACTTTGACCAAATCCCCGCATTGCTTTGCAAAACTGTTAAGTTCAAACCAGAAATAACAACGAAAAAAGAAAGGGAGGTCGGGACTAATTAGCAATGATAACAAGATGCATCACCCACCCCTTTAAATGGTGTGAAGTTAGTCAAATGTGAACAATTGATAATAATGACGTGCCACACTTCCGCCTTAGGCAATAACTGTATGGCATGTCCGAGGCATCATGTACCAATGTGTCCAAAACCAGCAAACTCAGCCGACGATGAACGTTGACATGTTTGTATCTCTGCACTTTTATTGGGCCATCGTTAGTACTTTTATTGTTCTAATTTTGTTGGCGGGCAGCTAGGCATAATAATGGCGGGAAGTGGTCCGTTCCTGTATTACTTCCCGCGTGTATCGACTCATGTTGGAGAAATGGCGCCAATCAGCTGTGTCAATGAGCCGTTTGTCGTCTGCAAACTCCAGTTGACCTGCTTACCGCTCGCCAAAACGGCGGACGACCAGTGATAACCTCAGATAAATTTCCTCCCCTTTTGGGGGGAAAGTTGCTTTCTTTCCCTGCTACATATACCCTGAAATTTGGAGGCTTATAAATAGTAAAGAGTTCAAATATGTTCCCAACTTCCTCGGATCTTGTCTCCCGCTTAAAATGGGTTACAGTGTCATTATTATGGTTGGTGGAACTTAGATACAAATAACCTAAAGCTCTTAAAAGCTAAACAAGACAGATTTAATGATGATATTTCAATCAGTGTTTCATTGGTAATCAATTAAAACCTTGAGGCTTCTCTATTGAACGGGTGCCTACCCCTTGTTTGGTTTCAATAATTCTACATTGCAGTGTCACAAATGCGATACTCCAAAATACAAATATTCTAAACTTCACAAATCAGCAATGGGCTAAACACCATGTTAATTACGACGTAGTCTCTGCAACGTTCTTTAAATAAAATAAATAACCCATTAAGTGGATTACAAAACGAAGAAAACCTTTGAAGAAATCTTCTTCAATTTGACCGAAAGATCCAAGTAAATAACAATCCGAATCCCAGACCCCACGTACATGTACAAGGTATACTCTCACGTAATTGCCGAATGTTAAGGCATCTCCATTTTTTTGTTTTATGGCAGGTCTTTGGACCACCAGGGTTGATAGCAGACCGATTGGCAAGGTTGTGTACGTGTGGTCTCTCGCGTCTCATTCCGCGCATTCATGCGAGCTGTGATGCGCTGTAATCTCAAGTCATATCGCCCCCCGTAACATCCCTGGCTCCGAGGGCATGGTTGGCCAACCATCGGCTCGAACGACAGGGCAAGCCTGCGGGAAGATGGACCGTGAAGACTCGGACATAGTCGCGGTATTTTCTTCCTCCATGGTAGGAGAAGCGCTGATTCACAGATCTAGAATTGGCATCAACCTACCTAATCCACTATAGTTCTACGCTCAGACCGTTATTATTATTGCAGGTACCGTGATGGAGTGCAGAAAATTGTTTTACTCCAACGTACTATGTTTTTCCACTTTTTGTACACTGTGAGACCATGCATTTATTCTTGCCCAGTTATAAAGTTACGGAAATTGAAAGTCGGTGTCATGGACCTTGCCCAATTTACCCACACAATATACACAATTATTTGCAGAGTTAACGGAAATATTCTTGGATCTGACATAAGCAAGCATATAAATACAAACTACAAACTGAATAGGGTCCCTTATTTATATAGATTAGATTTAGAGGAAAACCACACAGAAAATCTGGCCAACCACCATAAGACAACAATTAAACAGGTACATTTTGTTGGTTGAAAAACTATATGATTAGTTGAAACAGTGTCTGGTAGGTCTACACTCTATAAACAATCCCAAATGTTCATCGGAATCAACGTTTCTCATATATTCCTTCTTCCACGACTGACCAACGATATACGTAGCCAGGGAATCGTATTGTTGCCCCCTTTCTATGTGTTTTGCCCCCGTCCCTCCGCCTCATAGTACCAAAATGAAATGTGAATGGAGTGAGTGAAATGATACTTATATTATGTAATTGCATTTATGAAACACGACGCTCATCATTTAGATCGCATTGTTTTCCAGAAGCACCACTGTCTGCTTGGATAGGGCCTATTAGGATATCCAGAGCGCCACTGCTGCAATATAGAAAAGAGTTTTAATACTTTGTTTAAATTGTCTCTTTCAAAATTTCCTGAATTTTCATGACAGAAACCAATTTAAAGAGATTCGAGACAGATTGCCGTCGTCAGCCAACATTTCCTTCGCCACTGTTCATTTTCACCACAGGAAAAAATGTCCCTATAATGTTGTCTGTTTGAAACCACAAAAAAAATGTTTTCTATTAATTTCGAGCGGCGATAGATTTTACCTTATCGAGAGAACACGCCGTTTTGAATTAAGCTGTTTCAAAATTGAAGAAGTAGAACGAAGAAAGAAATGCATAATTTCACTTTCTTTTCAGTTTGACGGAAGATTCTCGGCAAAGGTATCACGTGCTCATTGTGCTCAGTTCAACGCCTGTTTTCTAGCTCTTTACTCTTATGGGATTGTAAGTAGTTACGAAGAAAAACGTCTATTCTTGATCCCCTTCGTGTCGATTCAGTTCAAACGCCGACTGTTTTAAGTTATGAAAAAAGAAATAATTTTTTATGGACTTTCTGATTCAAGTTCTTGTGAATAAAGGTGACCTTAGTCCAATTGCAATTTGTAATTAGCCAAAAAGGGATTTTCATTTCTGCCTTAGAGTGTCCTATAATGACAACATACGATGAATCCGGACAAGTGTTATAGCTATAGACATAAGTGAATAAAAGCTTCTTGTTTTTTAAATGGACAAGCGTGCAGTCAGACCGAGTGACAGACAAATCTTGAAGAGACAAAAGAGGGCAGCAAACACACAATCGTTTCCGCTTGGACGGAAACCATCCGAAAAAAAATACGATAGGGGATGCAGAACAAAGGAGACCCATCATGGGGCTAGATGAACTTGGGAGAAACTATTTTTTAAAGGACCTCCCAAAAAAATTTAAAATAATTTCAATAATAATAATAAATAAATAATTGAATCGATTAAATAAAGTGTACATGTTATTGCCGATCAGGCGATTGTTTTTTTCTCAGACAAAATTCAAACTTATCAAAAATTGCTGGTCTGTCCTAAGACATTTAACTTATGACATATTGACCCTTGGGTAAGAGACAAAAAGTGAGCTATAAAAGATGACCAGACATGAAATGATGAAATGAGAATGTTGTCACGCCCACGTATGGATAAGGTCAACTCTTTATTGAGAGTAGTACTGAGCACTGTAATTTGGATGTGCTGTGTTACAACATGATATTGCACAATTTCCACATGTATAGCACTCTAATCATGGATGATTTGGATTAAGGAGACCTTTTCGTATCCAACTAACTCAGGTAAAAACTTCCATAAACTTTCTCATCAAGAACTACTTTATTATACTAATCTGATGAAGAAGTTATGACAACGAACGCTTGTACAAGTGTCTACCTATGAATTAGTCATTACGTGTCTGTTCTTCTTATGTGCCGGCCTACCACTTAGTCCACGATTCACGATTGAATTAATCATCAGTACAGATGCTTTTGAATGTATTAATGAATGTTCCATTCCACTCAGTAATAGTATACATATGATTTCTAACAGGGACCCATGGTTGAAGTGCGCATTGCATCGCATATGCTAATTAGCCACTGTAAAATTTATAGCTTGACTATACGAGTTTAATACTGGTAATGGATCCGTTGTTTTTCCTTCATATTTTTTTTCCTTTTGAGCTTCACTGGCCCACGCAAGTTGCCAGCAAGGCCGAGCCCCAGGGGCGCATGCGCGTTCACACTGTGGCTCGTTCGCGACTTATAGTTTATTGAGCGGGTAATGAGTTGTGTGTACTAGCTAACCAGGCCCGTGTTGTTGTCGACGTGGGGGGCGGGAGCACCGTGAATCGGTCCAAGTCGTTCGAGGTCTGTGCCGGTGATGGGCGATGTGACACACGCACTCTCCTTCTGACTTGAGCTTTGGATTTCTTTCTTTGGGTACACCTCGTGGACTCAAAGCGGTCTTTCTATTAAATCTTGCAGCTAGCACTAGCTCGGGTAAGGCATAACGAGAACTACTGTTTTTCCAAAGCTGGTATTTTGGGGACAGGTCTTTCAAAGGTGACCTTTCCGGCATATTCTGTGGGCGACGCCGTCAACCATCCAATCTGTTATTTTTCTGAGGAGGCAACCCGGCTTGTCTCCGTTGACACTTCACCACAGAAACCCGATAGTCAGGGCAGTTCCTCGCTGGCTAGATAATTGCGTCCGTTCTGGTCCCATTGTTGGAAGTGCGTACTTTCCCTCCAGATTTCAAGGGGTTATCTTGTACAAAAGTTACCCATCACTGGCGTGTATAATTTTTGTATGAATCAGACTTGACCCATTCGTTGGTTGTTGAACACACTGTGGAATTCCTGCACGTGGTGGTACGTAAACATCCCGAAGGGAACCGTGTTTTGCGGGTTGTGTTTTCACGCAGCGAATTGACAAGTCCGATTTCCCCATGACCCATCTGGATAGCATGGCCGCGGCGATGTCTTCATCTCCACCGATTCACAGCCAGCACGCCGGCGGGGCACAACACCCTCATCACGCTCAACCACCCCCGGCCAGCCAACACGGGCAGCACGGTCAACCCTCCCCGGTCCAACATCAGGAGCAGCCCCTGCCTCCCCTTTCCGGTCCGCACGCCCCGCTGGCGGAACAAACTACCCGGGGTAGTGTCAGCGGGGACACCCAGCTTCACATGGACTCTCACTCCCCTAACGGCCATCCCGCCGACACGGATAAATCCCCGGCCAAGAAGAACGGCGGAGCAGGGATAAGACGGCACGAGAAGCCTCCGTACTCGTACATCGCCTTGATCGTCATGGCAATCCAAAGCTCGCCAACCAAACGTTTGACTCTCAGCGAAATCTACCAGTTTCTCATGCAGAGATTCCCCTTCTTTCGCGGCCCGTACCAGGGCTGGAAAAACTCGGTCCGTCACAACCTGTCGCTGAACGAGTGCTTCATCAAACTGCCCAAGGGTCTGGGCCGACCGGGGAAGGGGCACTACTGGACCATCGACCCGGCCAGTGAATTCATGTTCGAGGAGGGATCGTTCCGGCGGCGGCCTCGCGGATTCCGCCGCAAGTGCCAGGCGTTGAGACCTCCCTACGCCATGATGAACAACATGGGCATGCCCGGTATGCTGGGCGGATCGCACCTGGAAATGTTCCCGCAGAATTCCCCTGGTGCCTACCCAAATCATGCCAACATACAGTGTGGTATGAACAACATGAACTCGGCCAGTATGGTGGACACTAACATGAACATGGGCATGATGATGCCCCAGGTTTCCTCCCAGATTACCGGTAACTTGACAAGCTCCTGCTCGGTCAACTCTGCCGGGTACATGGCTAATTGTACGGCGGACTATGCCTCGGTGGTAACAACCACATCGTCCCCTACCCCGGTCAGTATGTACATGAACACAGTAGTGGACAATCTCTCATCCTATCCGACCTGGGGACCTGGACCGAATGGTCGGTACATCAAGCAGCAGATGTCAGATTGTGACGGTGGTGGTTCATCTCCCGCCCAAGGCATGCAGCAGCAGCAGCCGCAACAACAGCAGCAGGTCTCTACAGGAGATCACAGCCAGTACCTGACACCTCACCATGGCGTACAAGAGTCTATGGACATGCAGCACGGTGAGTTTGAAAAAGAGTGCATTCAAAATTTAATTAACAAATACAAAATTGCTCTCACTTAAAATATTCCAAATTGTCCATAGAGTCCCATCACATGTCACAAGGCACGCAAATTGATCTGACGAAATAACAACTCAGAATTCAGAATAATAATTGTGCCAGCATAAAGTACTTTATAAAAACGTAAATTTGACTTGGACAGAAACACGCACCAATTGTGTTCACCTTCTAGATAAAGCAAGGACCAAAATTAACAATACACATTCAGTTCGAGGAATTAGGAAGGATTGATTTCTGATGCGGAGCTTGCGTTAACTTTGCGAATGTTTGTGCATACTAACAAACTGATCAATCTGGTTTATTTGTTTTTTTCAAAGGAAAAAGAAAGTAAGCAGACAGTGTTTAATATATTAACAAGTATAATTTGATACCCAGCTAGCTATAATGCAGTACAACTTGAAGTACGATCTTAGAGCGCGCAAGGACCCACGGCCGATAGAAAGTGTGTGGCCTTGAAAACTCAATCAAGCGAACTAGAAAAAAAGTAGATCGACCAAAAATCACGGTACTGATCGGCTCGGTGGATTTTTGTTTTGGAAAAAGGTATCCTCTCCTGGAAAGTATTTCCTCGATATTCCTTAGCGAAAAATAAATAAATTGGGGGGAAAAGGATGAATAAACATATTTACAAATGTATTACAACTGATGTGGATATTTCGTTAGACAAGCGATACCACGCCGTTTAGGGTTCATGCCACACGCGCTAGACTTCAACTAGTCACACAACACATGCTATAAACAATGAGCTCGTTTTGATTTTTGCCCCTTTTGATACTGAATAAAAAAATAAAAAGCTGTTTTTATTCGTGATCCTTTGGTGTAGGTGTTTGAAATGGGTCGGTTCTAGAAACCACGGTAATGGCCATGAGTATTCGGCGCGGAAATTATCCCGATAACTGAGACGAACCACGCGCACGTTCGAACTTCGATGGGCGATAAATCCCACTTTTTACTTGAAGTTTAGTTTTGACGATAACATATTCCATCTGTGGCAGGATTTGGCGTGGGGAATGACAAGGTTTGTGCGTTGATGTGACGATTTTGTGAAGCTACATGTCCAGTAATCTTTGTAGTATAGGGGAACTACTGCATGGAGTGGTGTAGAAACTAGTATGAAGCTTATGTAAGCACGCCCTGTATGAGTTAGTTTAAGCACCTTTGCTCTGGTATCAGGTTTGACAGATGACTAACTATTTCTTCTGAAATCTGTGTTGACTAAAATCGCGTAAACATAAAAACTCTTTCCAGACCGCATACTATACTTTTTCATTTCATCTTGGGTTTTCAATGGTTTTTCTTTCCTTTTGCCCGTGGAAACCTCAGAGACTTGAAACCTTATCTCGTGGTCAGGAAAAGAAAGTAATTCTTGCCGTCAATTCGCTGGCAAGTGGCGGGTTGCAATGGTTATTCAAACTGTAACTTGAACTGATATTAATGCAGATTATTTTTGATGAGGCGATTAAGACTTGTCACGTTCAAAAACCACAACATGGGTTGATTATATTATGAACAAGCAATTTGTTTACTTATTTTATTCACTCAATGACTTTCCATACTTATTCGGATTGTCGGCTACAAACTTTGATAATCATAATATAAGACACTGGATAATATTGTTCATTTATATTTATGTTTTCGGACCAGGAAAGTGAGTTCACCAAGAAATAATCAAAACCATTCAACACATTGTATTTTACTATTATAAGCTGTTACATTTCAAGGTTGTTTGAAATACTCTCTTCAGTCGTCTTTCTGAGCCTTTTTTTAACAGTTGCTTCTTCCATTCCCTCAAATTACGTCTTAGGGATGGAAATTGCCAATTTAGATGATTATTATCATCATGGGTTTGTTAAGAAAAAAAATGTAACATAATTGTTACATGTGTCAGTTTCTCGGGTCACGATAAGCGTCATAGTTAGAAAAGAATGTTAAATGAGATGGGAATTATTAACATCATTAATATCACTCAAAGCTAAAACGTCAACATTAATTGTAGGACTGCGTCGTAGTACGCGCGATGTCTGACTGTGCGGCTAAAGTAAGCACATCACTCAGAATTGTATAATTTATGACAAAAGGGGAGAAAACGTAATCGATAGGAAGTCGAGTTTGCCAAAATCGAGTGATTTTACCATTATTTAATATCGAAAATAATTATTACGCAGTGAATTTTAGCATCCAAAAAAGTCAGATGACTTACGTCTCCTTAACAAAATAAAGGTTCAAAATCTGACATTGAATTTGACTTCACTTTGTTGAAACTGATTTTTACAATATTCTGTTTTGTAACACTGATATTAAAAATATGATTTACGACGCAACGAAAGCAATTTCATACCTATGACTGTGGATGTTAATCACTGGTCAATATACTGTTTTTATAATCTTCGTATGGTCTCTGCTTTCATTGTTTATAAACATTAACCCAGATATCATTCTTAGAAGGCTTTGTTTTCATGTAAATTGGTACAAAAGTGAGAAGAACTTACCACATTTTTATTCTCGAAGATGACAAACAATAATATTCCGTGTGTTTTCCCGTGGATAGCACGTTGACGCGGATGCACAATGCGCGAGTGCCTCATCACACGCACGCAACCTCCGAACGGTAAGCTAGCCGCCACCCACAGGCGCGACACAACTACCTGTGACCGCTCCGACTCACAACTCCCATCTATAAGCAACTCATCAAGCCTTTTGTTTTAAAAACATGGCGGATTCCCCAAATAAATAATGAGACAAACCCCCTAGATGAATGCCCAAGTCCGCCAATACGAGTCAATCATATTTTTAAACTGTTTATAATAAGCTTTTATAGTTTACGCCTCGAGAAATATTTACTAAGAAGAGAGCCCCCGTCCACTTCCCACTGCGTTACACCGTGCCTCAGCCCTGGTATTAAGACGCTGTATTTACAAAAGAGAAATGCAGTGTTTAGAATCTGGAGTGTCGCTATCGAAATTTATTTACTTATAAATCCCTTCCACTCGTTGGCTGCCGGTTGAAGTCATAACAAACATAAGGCATGTGCTTATGTCTTATGTATATATTATAGACGTGCATAACTCCAAACATTGGATTCGAAAAAATACACATGAACGGTCATGTGTATGGTGGAGGTGTACATTAAAATGCGCACGGTGTGTGAGAGAGTCAGTTCCCTGGTGTATTCGCGCGCCGAAAATTTACGAAGACGCGCCAAATTATATCTGGATATCCACAGGTTGTCTTGTAAGGCTTGAATACAATCCTTATCATGTCATAGTGGCCTGTAATAAGTCAGCATCAAGATATGGCACTCAAGGCCCAAATTGAGTAAAAATTTCGCGTTCACACAAAGCTCGTAAATCATCACCGGCGGTGCGTCTCGCTAAAATCAAGCCCCCCAAATTGAAGAAATTCGCGCCTTTTTCTATCACACAGATGTTCGGCAAGACAATGATGCTCATTAAATCTTGACTGCTTTTCGTGCCCTCAGGGGAGAGCTGAGATACATTTTTGATGCAGTTTGATTCGATGCATTTTGGAAGCCGCGGGCATCGGTGACAATGAGACGGACGGAAAATTAAATTGATGTAATAATATCCATGGCGGCGTCGATTTCGTCAAATACCCTTTTTCCTGTCGCAATTATGTTTTTTTGGCATGATAAAATCCAACGCAAATACCTGAAATTGTACTGAAAAGACTGACATAATTTAACCCCAAAAAACTTGGGTTTGTATTCAGAGGCCCACAAAAGCCTTCTTTTATCATCAAAATGGAGACTGCGGGTGTGTGCTCAATATGGTCGCTGTATACTTTTTTTTCACACGCCAAGTAAATTGTTTGTGTTTGCATTTCCATTACAAAAGGAACTCGCTATAGCTGGTTAGTTGCAAAAACAAGGGATTTTTATTCTAAAACTAGTCCAATCTTCCAAGTCGACGTTTGAGACATTCACAGAGCAGGATCCTTTTTACAAAATATGAGTGGGCAGTATACACGACTACGTGCACTGGCAAAGTCTGATAGCCTGAGATGAACGTGGATGAGTGTGCAAGATAACTAGAAATATCCCAGGTTCACTCAAGGCTTTGCTTGAAAATTCTGACAAAATGTTAAAGATGTTTTTAAGTTGCTCATCTAGTGTTCTTCAACAGTGCCACCGCAACCGTGTAGCGGGCGAGGCGAAGCCTCCTTGTTGAAATGGGGTGGGGGTTGGAAGGGAGTGAAATTCGCATACAAATTTCTTTCTGTCGAGTGGGGGCGGGACAGACAGACATGTGGTAGGCGGATTGGCTTCGGCCGTGTTCTTGCGGCTGTAACTTGTAATCGTAATTCTTCGAAGGGTTCAATATCGCTTACCACATTAACATTAAATCATTAACGGGTGTAGTTAACTGGGCAAAATTAATTTCAATGTAACCATTTGTTTTTTTAATTAAAATTTTATTTGAACTTTCATATGAGGATATAAAATGTGAAATAACTAGTCATATGTTTTTACTGCCGCCAACTGGCAGTGAAGTAATACTTAATTTACATTTTGTTGTGTGGACTATATCTCGAGATTAGTATGCAAATGAACTAATTTTCTACAGAAACCTTATATAGGCTGTAGAGGTCCTTGTGCATGCGTTTTCTCCTCAGATGCCCCTTTACAGAATTCTGCAGGTTTTTTAGTTAGTAAAAAATCAGACGTAGTCCTAGTTATGTTGCATTTTCTTATTTATGATTCATTAACCTGAAATAATGCAATTGCGAAAGAAAAATAGATCGAGAATTGATACCAAAGGTTTTTTTGGTAGTTCAAAAACAGGCAGATTGAAAGTGAATGAAAACAAGTCAAAAAGATATTATTTCGGTTTTTTTATTCTAATCGAATTTCAAAAGGTATAGACCCACCTGAACGATTAGTTTCTGTCCTTACTTTCACAATTTATCGAGTGTAGGGCGAC